GTTTCATTAACTCCATGGTGATTCTGCCTTGATAGCGTCACTCACATGCTTCTTGCCTCTTGATCATATGATGATGGGTATAGGTCCTGGCACAAATCTCTGATAAACTCAGGAAGAAGGCCAAATGTGCAGGTCAGCCAAATCTGCCCCCTGTGGTGCTTTCCTGAAGCTCCACTTGGTGACCTCCACTTACTTAGTGGTTAAAACTGAGTCCTAGGGCCCCTAGCTGCAAAAGAGTCTGGGAGGTTTTTTTGTTTTTTATTTTTTTGAGATGACATCTCACTCTGTTGCCCAGTCTGGAGTGCAGCAGTGCAATCTCAGCTCACTGCAACCTCTGCCTCCTGGGTTCAATCAATTCTCCTGCCTCAGCCTCCCAAGTAGCTGGGACTACAGGTGTGTGTATTTTTTTGTATTTTTAGTAGAAACAGGATTTCACTGTTTTAGCCAGGATGGTCTCGATCTTCTGACCTTGTGATCCACCCGCCTCTGCCTCCCAAGGGCTGGGATTACAGGCGTGAGCCACTGCACCCCACCTGGGAGGTAAGTATTTTTAAGTAGACACATTGCTGTGCCAACAAAATCAGTTCTGTTGGTCAGGATGAAGAGGGTGAATATTGTATAGACCACTAACAGTGTCTGCCTCCTCTTTCAGAGAATTTTCCATGTGTACAGAGATAGCTACAGATGATTGATAGATCGATAGAGTGTACCTGTATTTTCTTACAGAAATTCATACTGCTTTATAATGTCTTTAAGTGATGCACAAATACTCAAAACCAATAAATGAGAAATTTTTTTCCCTAAATTAACATGTTGACCAACTTTTACTACTGAGTAAATTGCATTCAGCAAAATAATAGGCTATCTTTGTTTTACTGTGCTTAAATATGCTGCATTTTCTAGTAGCAGAACGTTCTTTCAAGTAGAATCTCTGTAACATTGATGAAAGCCGAGTTCTCTGGCATCTGAGTACAGGTGGATGTCAGGAACCCTTTCTCTCCTCTCTCCCCAGACCCCAAAGCATTTCTGCGGAACTCAGTGTAAACAGCTCTGTCTTGGCAGGTTGTCGGACAAAATACCCTTTGAGATCCTCAGCCCGCAAAGGCTTCTTGCAGCTGAGGGGCCGGAGAGTAGGCTGGGTGGCTCACACTGCAACCTAGGGGATGGGGAAGGCCAGGCCAGCAAGAACAGGCTGGGAAGGCTGCACTGCCAGGCCCTGCACACTGAAGCCACCCCACCAAGGGCCTTTCTTCAGGCATTTTTGCAACAGACCAGGCAGTGCTGGCCCACAGGCCAGGCTCAGTTTCCCCATCACTGGAAAGGAAAAATGCCACCCACTTTCAGTTATTTTCCAGGTTTCTATAGTTTTAAGGAGATGGAATAACTGGCAGGGTCTAAAATATTCTCAAATACGTGACACGTTCTGTGTCTTCTAGGAAGGCATTGGGAGGGGCAAGCTCAGATGACAGTGGCGGTGGGAAGGTAGAGGCAGAGGACTCATCACAGGCTCGAGAAACCCGCATGGTCACTGCTTCCCCTTTTCCAGTTGCCTTCTTAGTGTTTCTCTGTGGGAGCGCTCAGGGATCCTCTGGCATGAGGGACAGGACAAAGAGAACGCAAGAGCCACTCTGGAGCACCATGACAGTAAGCTTAGCCTGCTCTCCCTGGTGAGGAGGGCGTGTAAAGTCACCCTAGATCCTGGATCGGGAAAGTGGAGTGGAAGGGAAGTCAGAGTGGAAGCAGACAGCAGTGTTAAGTGGTTGCGGTGAAATATCCTGCCTTGTTAGATTTCTCTGCAGACAGAAAAGGTGATGCAACTGTGATTTCATTTTTATTTACAAGGCTTAGTTGCATTCCATTTCCCCCAAGACAGCAGGCGCCTCCCACTTTCTCCCTCTCCCAGTCTTTTTCCCTTACACTCTTCTTTCCATTCCTTCCCCACCTCCTAGTCAGGGCAGGGGTGTTTGTTTGTTTGAGACGGAGTCTCAGAGTCTCGCTCTGTTGCCCAGTCTGGAGTGCAGTGGTGTGGTCTCGGCTCACTGCAACCTCCACCTCCTGAGTTCAAGTGATTCTCCTGCCTCAGCCTCCTGAGTAGCTGGGATTACAGGTACTTGCCACCACACCCTACTGATTTTTGTATTTTTAGTAGAGATGGGGTTTCACCATGTTGGCCAGGCTGGTCTCGAACTCCTGACCTTGTGAGCCACTGCACCTGTCAGGGCAGGTTTTGACCCCACCTGCCACTTCCCTGGCTGAGAGCTGTCCCAGGGTCCAGGTGAGGCTCACTGAATCCCATAGGCACCAGGCCTTTTTTCTTCCTCTTCCTACCTCAGATACTACATAAACCCAAAGAGCTTTTCAGCAGAAATCAAGAAATCGAAGATGAAATTCCAGTGTTCAAAAAGTTTGCTTTTTGTTTTTTGTTTTACTTTTTGTTTTGAAATAATTATAGATGCATAGGAAGTTGCAAAAGGAATACAGACAATTCCCATGTGCCCTTCACATAATTTCCCCTGGTGCTAATATCTTACGTAACTTACAGCCTAATAGCAAAAGTTGACATTGGTACCATCCAACATTGGTACCATCCATAGACTTTATTCATATTCCACTAATTTTACAGTGATATCCTTTTTAAATAATTTTTCTTTTTCTTTTCTTTTTTTTTTTTTTTTTTTTTTT